AGCATTTCTCATACTGACTTAGACAGCTCTGCTCTCAGGCTCGCCCAAAGGCACAACAATTTCTCCAGCATTAACAGGAGAGTTGTCAAAATAACTGCTTAATGGAATCTGTCCAAATCTAGAACCAATCACTTTTGCCAACATATGATTAGTTACTGAAATGCCTCAAGATTTAAGACAGGCTATTTGAGTTGCCTTTTATTCAAAGCACTGACACAGTAAATTTTTGAGACGACTGTTTTAAGGAAATTAAAAGCCACAGAATTTCTCTATTTTAAGGGTAAGAAAATTTTCCCAGAGTATATTATTTATCTATGTTTAAATATAATGCTTCCTCTCTCCCTACTTGTTTTTTATTTCAACAAAATATTACTCAGTTGTTATAACTTTACACATGATGTTCTGTAAAATAAAGTTAAAATAACTATAAAGACAGAAATACAGACCACGGATACTTACTTTTCTCATCCATAATGTTACCACATGAAAATTCTTTGACCAATGGATGATTTTTATGGGAACCAACAAAACAAAAAAACCTTCCCTAAAAATTGGCATACTCAGAAAATAACCTCAAGAACAGGAAAAAACAAACAAAAAAACCCTCTAGTTTCAGATAGTTTAATATACACAAAGAACAGTAAGTCTCTCATTATGCAATGTATTACAAAGCATGGAAAAAAGACTGAAATGTCCCCAACTAATTTTCTGATGTTGGCAGAAACAGCCAGAGAAACCATTCCCCTACACACACAGACACATGAACACACAAATGAGCCAAAGGGAAAGGAGAGAAAGTGCCCATGTCCTCATCACTAGAGGACAGTGATTTTTTTTTTTTAAACAAATTAAAAAACTCCCCTGACACACTCTCTGACTGTGAATTAGTATAACTCAACAATCCCTCACAAAAACTTTACCCAAGACTCATGGGGCCAGATGTGCTTCAAGATTCCAAACTCCCCAGAAAGACACTATGGGGCATATGTACTATATTTCACACACCTTTAGAGAGTCTGGGCAGCTATAATTTTTCTGTAGCAAAAGTAAATATTTATAATAATGTGATAAAAAAATTTAATTGCCTCTCATCATATTTAGATATTTTCTTCAAATAATGCAAGTCAGGTCAGGTTTTACAATCAAATGAGTTACTTAAAGTTTTCAGAACTTTATGGATTTCAGAATTATGGAGAAGGGATTATTGACCTGTTACAGAACATTCTGTCAATAATAATATTAATTACTGATAATGCATCAAATGCCTACTCTGAAGGATGACGCATTTGGCATATATTATCTTTAATTTTTTTCTACCATTCTGCAAGAATGAGGACATTCTGGGTGAATGTCCTCTGAACAAATGAGGTTCAGAAAGGTTATGCGACTTGCCCAAAGCCAGTTATGAAAGAACTACAACTTGAATCAAGATCTGTCCATTCACCAATAATAGGTCTTGTACCAAGTCCATCCCCTATGCTATTAAATAGTCAGATTCTTGATTGCAAGCTACAGAAAGCAACTGTAGCAAACCTAAGCAGAGAGGCAGTTTTCTGAAAGCACACTGACAGCTTACAGAATAGATGGGGAACCTGGAGAATCAAGCTCATCGAGTGATCGTAAGGGAGGCCAAGCTGCAGGAGTCACTGCCTAATATCAAGTCCTGAATTTAGGATGCTGCTATGACACCTCCACCTCTACTGCTGCCTTTACCCCGCCAAGGCAGGACACACATCTTTACTGCTGCTGGACTCTAGATAACCAAGCAGAGCTATGAAAATTTTACAGCCTGTCTGTCTGTCTGTGCAAATTCAAGCTTCAGCCACATATCTCTACGCTTTCATAATGTGAAAAAGGCAACATGTCCCATCAAGTCCACACCAAGAAGGGGTTCTTCCCAAATTCTACCAAACATTTAAAGGGGTGTTAGGATACTGGGCAATTTCCCCTAAAAGGGGTGGGGAGAACAGTGTTGTTATTCTAAACAAAATATTTGCAAATCATACTCAATGGCAAGCAATAAGGTGCATGTGTGTGTGTGTGTGTGCACGTGAGTGTGCGTTTGGTTGCTCAGTCGTGTCTGACTCTTTGTGACCCCACGGACTGCAGCCTGCCAGGCTCCTCTGTCCAAGAGATTCTCTAGGCAAGAACACTGGAGTGGGTTGCCATTCCCTTCTCTGGGGGATCTCCCAGAACCAGGGATCAAACTCGGGTCTCCCTGCATTGCAGGCAGATTCTTTACCATCTGAGTCACCAGGGAAGCAGGACTTCAGAAATAAAATTGCTTTAATTTTAAGAAATTTATAATAGGGTAATTCACATTAGTAAAATTTAAATAAAGAAATTAATTGGTGGTTTTAAAAATATTTTATATAATTTAACATTCATTCTTCATTTTTAAACTCTTAATAAGTTAGGAAGAGAAAGCTCTTTTATTAACCTGGTGTTCTTCACTTCAATTTAATCATATTTGAAAGAGCAACACAAAAAGCATTTTGATCACTCACTGTCATTTCTCCATGTCATTCAAAAGCTCTAACCAATGGCGATCAGAAGAGAAGGGCTACAACTGCCAGAAAATAGGAAGCAAATTGTCGTTACCTGGCAGATAACAGGACATGCTATACCTGTGACAAGGATGAAGACTGCAACCCAGCATAGACGCTGAAATCCACTCTTGTATGAATCCTGTCTGAGTCAAGAGCTTGGCTGTTCTTGGGGGAAATTCTGACCCGGTGAAGTAATTCATATGCGGTTATTCAGACTGGGCATTAAATATTCCATTTTATAATACAAGAGTATCTCTTCAAGAATAATTATGACATCTTTTAAATGTCTGAGTTTCTTTTGAGCACATGAAACTTGACTGGTGCCCAGGGATTCAATAAGAAAGGAGAAGGGAGTCTTATCTGCAGCTACAAGACCAGCATATAGGAAGCAGGTATGTCTGATACAGTTTTCAAATTTCCTTAACTGCCTTCTAATCCTTTTAGGTTATCCTCAATAAAAATATTGTATATATGTGTATATACATATACATATATACTATACCTATGTACATTATATATTAATATTATCCTGAATAAAAAGTATATTAGAAAGAGTTAAAACCAACCCAGACTTGAATTAGAAGTATCTGAGTGCAAAAAGGGAAACTGCTTTGGACAAAGACTTGCAGAAGTATGACAAAGCAGTCTGAAGAAGCCAGAAGTGAACCGTGGAGAAGCTGGAAAAAAAAGTCCAGAGCAAGAGCTGACAAATGACAATCCGGACAAGTCCATCTCCAAGACCAGATAGTTTCCCTGGTGAATTCTACCAAACATTTAAAGAAGATTTAATGCCAGTCCTTCTCAAATTCTTCAAAATATTGAAGAGGAGGGAACACTTCAAAATAATATTATTTTTTAATAGTAAAGTTAGCCTTGGTTTGCCATGTTAATTGCAAACGTTATTTTTCTGCCTTTCAATTCAGGTTTCAGAAGTTTTGATTTTTTTTATGAAGGTATAATTGACACATAACACATAACATTAGTTTCAGATGTAAAACATAATGATTTTATATATATATAAAATATTATATATCACTCAAGACAGGAAACTTCAGTCTCACAAGTTCATGGTAGGTGTTCAAATTTGTAGAATTTCTGAAAATAATGTGAGTAATGTGTACNAACTTCAGTCTCACAAGTTCATGGTAGGTGTTCAAATTTGTAGAATTTCTGAAAATAATGTGAGTAATGTGTACTGATTTCTTTTTAACTAGAACATTACTCCTTTTCTCCAAGCTTTATTGTCTCAGAAATAAAGTTGTGAGCTCATTGTTAGCCAAATAATTAACTTTTTAATATGGCTTAATTAGTCTTTTCATTTCAGGTATTTCATTTCATTACACATATCTCTAGCTACTATAATAAAGAATTCAGCCCTAGCGCTTTATATTTTTAAAAGGAAAAACAGGATGAGGCAATGCCGTGCATCCTCTCAGCTGTGAGGCCTGTCTGTATGAAGCACAGCTGTTTGCACTGCTTCTGCTAAGTCNCTGACTGTGAAAGATGTAAGAGATTGGACTGAGCACTAACTTCAGGACATATTATAGAAATAAAGTTTTAAAATAAATCTCTGATATCAACTTTCTTTTTAACCCCATATTTAGGATCAAAAATACAGGACAGATCTCAAAATTGAGATTATAGATTCCAGTTACTTTGATTGGACAATAAAGGAAGATACTATAGATATAACATTGGAAGACTGAATAGATGAAAGGCTCAGTGAGATCAGAGAGTGATTCTCCTGCAAGAAAGCAGAAACAGAACTGAGTTAAGAGACAACAAACAAAGACTGGTAGTAGATCCTTTCCCCTTCCGCCACCCTACTTGACATTGACTTCACCATTAACAGAGCCTACCAGTGGGTCCCTGCTAAAAAGACTGAGGAAAAAAAAAGAAAAATTTTTAAAAAGAGCAAACTGCCACCTGGATACCTTAGTGTTTGTGTCCACCTGGAAGGCCCACATGTCCCCCAAAACACATGGGGCCTCACAACTGACAGAGAAAACTAAAGCCCAGAGAAGAGAATTCCATCCCACTGGGACTAATGATGGCATAAAAGCACTAACTTGCAAAGACTTAACCAACCAGACATGGAGGAGAAAGGCTTAAAGACCGCTTGCCCTTCAGCCGTCAGTCAGTGCCCCAAGGGATGGTTGAGGGTTCTCCACGTAAGGATGTGCAGGATGAAGCTCACTAACCTGGAGGTTCCCGATGGCATCTCCTGTCAAACTCTGCTCAGAAAGATCTCTAGGCTGACTCGCATGGCTGCTGACTTGGCCAGGTCCAGATGCAACCAGGGATTAAGTTGCATGAAGTCCAGATACATGAAGTCCTGGTACCTGAGGCTGACCATGTCCAACACAGGGGCTCTTCTGAGCCCACCCAGACTGTTACTGAAACACAAGTCTGTGTGCCCGACGCACAGTGAGGCCAAACAATACCAAAATGTTGCAGTTTGGAGCAGAGACAGGTTTATTGAGGGCCATGAAAACAGACAGGTGGCATGCCTTAAAAACCCCAAACTCCACAAAAGGTTTCAGCAAAGCCCTTTGCCAGGAAAGGTGAGGGAGGAGCATGGTTGGTTGTAAACTTTTTGGTTCCAGATCCTTTGTTCTAGAGGTCCTCTTGTAGTCTGGTAATGATGTTTCTGTAAATCTCTTAACAAATGTTATTTTCTGTCCTGACCAGAAAGGGTGAGGTCCCGAGCGAGGCACAACTTTCCCCTCAGAGGTCGTCCTCCTGGCTAAGAGGAGGCAGGTCTCAGCTGGTGGCTTCCTCAGCGCCAGGTTCCCAGACCCTGCCCAGCTGTCATCGCTGAGGGAGCCAGGCGCCCAGGACCCAACCGGAGTCAGGAGCCTCAGGCTCCTCAGGCCGCCCATGTGATAGGGACCAGGTCCCCCAGGCTGCCGCCATCAGGTCGAAGAGATGGGATGAGGGGGAGGTTCACCATCGCCTCGAGTCTGAGTCCAGTCAGTGGGAGGCTTTGGCGAGGGTTCTGGAGCCCTGTAGGACGCAGGACACAGTCTGCTCCCTGCCCTCAGCTCACCTGCTGGCTTGAGGCCGGGTGAACTGGAAGAGCCCCAGGGAGAAGGCTAGGAACCTCCTCTTACCTCACTCTCCACCCGAAGACCACCACTCCGCTGACTAAATCCCCTCACTAAGGGTCATTCCTTGACAGTTGGTTGTTTGTGGGCGGGGCCCACTGTGGTGTCAACCAATGGGTGAGCAGGACCAGTACCGGTCTCACAGGGACGGTTGGTCGCTCGCGGGAGGGGCTCTGTGCAGCACCAACCAATGGCTGAGCAGGACTCAGCGTGATAATAGGGTGGAGGGTACGGGCGCATAGCAAGGGTGGTGTGCCGAGGCCTGCACCTGCCCTGGCTCTACCATAAGACTACCATTCCCACAGGACACCCCAGCTTCCCTCAGGCCTCCAAAGCCTTCCCATCACTTTAAGTATCTCAAAAAGGTAATGAACTACCAATAGAAGGTAAGTGTCAGACTTTGCCCAGAACCATTAATATTAACAGTTTCTTATCAAGTGGCTTCTCCACCCGAAGACCACCACTCCGCTGACTAAATCCCCTCACTAAGGGTCATTCCTTGACAGTTGGTTGTTTGTGGGCGGGGCCCACTGTGGTGTCAACCAATGGGTGAGCAGGACCAGTACCGGTCTCACAGGGACGGTTGGTCGCTCGCGGGAGGGGCTCTGCGCACACCAACCAACGGCTGAGCAGGACTCAGCGTGATAATAGGGTGGAGGGTACGGGCGCATAGCAAGGGTGGAGTGCCGAGGCCTGCACCTGCCCTGGCTCTATCATAAGACTACCATTCCCACAGGACACCCCAGCTTCCCTCAGGCCTCCAAAGCCTTCCCATCACTTTAAGTATCTCAAAAAGGTAATGAACTACCAATAGAAGGTAAGTGTCAGACTTTGCCCAGAACCATTAATATTAACAGTTTCTTATCAAGTGGCTATATTTTAAAGACACTGTGCTAATTTGCAAATCTTTCCTTTGAGTTGCCAAAAAATATGACATTTATCATGCAGTCCTCCAAACTGTAGATCTGAAGAGTTTCTACATTTTCAAATATGCATTGTCTGTAAATGAGATTTTATGTGAAGCAGTTCTATAGACTGTAGGTTTTATTAGAATATAGTCACACTTAAAGAGAAAAATCAGAAATTCAGATTAACTCTAAGTAACTGATTCAAAACTCATGAAATACGTTCTTAATGTTCCACCTTCACTACATTAAAAAGCAATGTAAAAGTTGCCCACCCAAGTTTCAACAGGAATAATAAAAAGGAAATAAGTCATTTCAATCTTATACCAGCACAGAGAAGTTTTAAGATATCAAATCCAACAGTTTCTCACCAGGGGCTATGCCACAGAGGAGACTTGGATAGTCTAGTTGTTAGAGTAGAAATTCACAGATCATTAAATTAATTCAAAGACCAACAGGGCAGCAAACTAACAAGGTACCCTTACAGTATCTGATTACAGACTGTGAATATTCACCAAAATAAATCACTTAAAGGGGCAAGCAGTCCAAGGCTGAAGTTTGAAAGTGCAGGACAGAGCTATTGCTAGAGCAACCCTTAAATACACAGACTGAAGGAAGGCAAATGGTAGGGGAGGAGACTGGAAAGGCTAAGTCTGGAAACAGATTGTGGCTTGGGCTCCTGGTCATGGGGTGCACCTGAATCACAAAGGGGAGGATTTTTAACTTTATCCAAGCTCAGATCCCACCCAGACCACTTAAATCTGGTTATTTTCAAAACTCCCTCCAACTGACTGTACTGTGCAATCAAGGGTCAGCCCCACTGGCCTGAGGAGGAGAGAAAGGCAGGGTTAGGAACAGACAACCTGTGCTCTGAAAACCTCAAGTCCACAGGCTGCCCTGACATAAAGTGACCACATAAAGGGGTCGCTGCTGTGACCCCCCCGGGCAGCAGAAGGCTCTCTCAAAGGCCTGGCCCAGGCTTCCATCCACCTGGCTCATTTCTGTATGCAGTCAACTGTCTCTAATCTTCTGAAGGGCATCTTGATGGGATCCCAGAAAACGGCAACACTGTGGAAACATTGCTGGTGATGGGTCTGGTGAGCAAGCTGAGCAGGGAGTTGCCAGGCTCATTAATCTCCCTTTTAGCCCCCTGCTATGAATTCTCAGATGTAAACACACACTTAAGTGTAAATTATTGGTGTGTGGACCTCTGAAGCAGTTGCTTCTTAAATTAATTTAATGAGCTGTGAACTTACGCTTTAAAGTAACTTCTCATCCCAGAAGAGAACCTTCGGACATGAAAAAACAACAAATGTCTATACCTCAGCAAGAGGTTCAGAGCACAAGAGTGGAGGGTAAACAAAGTAGTTTGAAACATTAAAAAAAAAAAACCAAAATGTAAATAATCATGAACATGAAAAAAAGCACTCAAAAGTAATCAAAAAATATAAAAACTCCACATTTTCCTTATCAAATTGACAAGGATATTTTATATGCTAATATTCTATGTTCATGAAACTCTAGAAGTACAAAATAAAATAATCGTGATAATAATAGCAGCCAGGGTGCATTCTCAGCTAATTTTCATCGCTACCCTGTAAGAATGGTAGAAAGAAATGAAGGGCAAGGGACGAAGTAAACTCAGCACATGGCTGGCAAGGGCAGATCCAGGACAGATCACAGCTATGCTAACTCAATAACCTAAGCATTAGCCATTATCCTAAAGTGCAGCCTATCTAAAAACTATCTGGCCCTATGAAACAAGAACCTCAAAAATCTCCAAGCATTTGGATCCAGAAATCCCCCTTCTAGAGTACTTAGACAATCATAAACTAAGCCACTAAGCTAAGGAATGCATGCAACAAGTTCATACAGTGGTGTATAAAACAAACCGGCCAGAGTGGAATATTTAGATAGAGCAGGATCATGCAGCTTTCAAGATGGAAAGTGACTTTAGTGACGACTTAATCCAACCCAGTCACCCTACAGGGATGATTATTTAATATGAAAAAAATTTTACTTTTTTCCCCAATGTGGGAAGACACGGAGGAATCTTTTGATAAAAAATAGCCTTTTCTTACTTTTTCCTAGGACTGCCCTATTTCAGTACTCAGGAGTTTAATGAGAGGGAAGGTCTATCAGCATTTACAATAAACAACCCCACAATAAATGCAGTTTTAGAACTGAGTTTTCTTTCTTGCATGTATGGCCATCCCAATAGGCCTATCTTTGCTATAGATGCAAAAATTACAATTAAGCTATGTAACTGCTCATAAAATCAGACTGCTGATTTAAGTTCATGAACTCTGAGTAAAATGTACATTGTCTTTAAAACACAGGCTTCTCAGTGGCTCATCCAGTACCACGGAGACCTTTTTCCCTTACTGTCAGGGTGTTTTCCAAAAGGAAGAAGCTGTTGGGAGCCTATCCTTAAAAGGAAAGTGGGGGGGACTTACAATACATCACCATTAGAGTCAGCAGCAAAATGAGTTTAGCCCATGTAAAAAGAGATGTTTATTCAATAAGTATTTAGTGTGAGCCCACTACATGCCAGATGCTGTGGTCAATGCTGAGATCTCAGTGGACAAATCCTTAACAAAAACTCCTGGCTTCATGAAGCACACATTCTAGTGGAGAAAACAGGCAACAAACAAAATCATCAAGTAAATTATCCACTATGTTAGAAGGAGGTAGATATGGTGAAGAGAAATAAAGCTGAAGGGGCTTAGTGCAAGTGTATGCAGAGGGCTCAAGGAAGGTCTCAGAGGGGAGACACTTGAGCAGAGACTTGAAGGGTGAGATTAAGCCAGGCAGATTTCTAGGGAAAAGCATTCTCGGCAGAAAGAACAGCAGGAGCTGAGGCCCCAAGGCAGAGACAGGCTGCATGTTCGGGAAACGAATAGACTTGACTCCTGACATCTTCATGACCCTTAAGCCTTAGAATGCAGAGTATTTAAGATTAATTATTTCACTGTCTTTTAAGAATGCTCTTTAAAAATAAACCTAAAGCATTTTCCCCTTGCCTCCAGGTTTAGCCAGCCTCCTCACTGTTCCAGTTCAACAGGGCAACCCCTCACTTTCTGTGTATCTATAGCCCACTTATCCTTAAAAGTCAAATTCAAGACACTTCTCCATGAGACCCTTCAGGTCTCACACTTCAATATCATACTCCATTCTGTATTCCCCACAACAGGCTGACTACTGTCAAAGAGAAGGAAAAGGTAACATTTACTGAAGATGACTAGGTATCAGACATTTCACATGGTGTAAACCATCTGGGTACACAACAAGTACTGTGAAAACATCGACTGAATGGACTGGCTCACTTTTTCTTATGGGCAACTTTTAATGGCATATGGGCTTAATCTATGAGGCAGCCTTAAAGAAGAAAATAATAACCCTCTGCCACTCCCTACCCGCCACCCCCCATCCCCCGCCAAAATGAAGTAACCGAAAGTCCAAAATGCTCATGAGTCTGAGAAAAAACAAAGCATTTCACTCTCCTTTCCCCAACAAATCATTCAGGTTGCTGAACACAGGAAATTTCGTTGATTTTCCTGAGCCCTGTCCACTATATGCAGCGAACCAAACAAGCCACAGTAATATGTGAAGCCTGGGTAATGAAAAGGTGATTATAACTCCAGACTAGATAAACCACAGACACAACTGATAGAAATGAAAACCCGCACCGGTCACCAAAGCCACCTTGGACACAACACATCAGACTTTGAGAGCTAGAAGGAAACTCGGCTATTTATACTTACGGTCAAATGCCTGTGTCGAATATGCAATTAACATGTTCACTACCAGGGCCTGCAGAAGCCTTTCTTCGTCCTTCACTCAGTTAAGAACTAAAAGTTCCTGTGTAAGGAAACTATTTCTCAATCAAGGCTGTCTCATTAATTTTGAAGACTTTTAAAAAAAAATTACCCCTACATGCACTGACACAACCAGAAATATCAGGTTCATGTAATAGCAAACATACTTGTGGACTGTATGTGATTTATTCTCAGCCCCAAAATTTTAATTTATGAGGAAGTGCAAAATCTATTAGTAACTGATATAAAAATTACAGATGTTTCTAACTATTTGAGTTGCTGGCTCTTACTCCTTTTTCTTCCTGCAAGAGGAATCTAACACATCCTAAACACAAGAAAATGGCAATCAAATTGACCAAAGTGGTTTCAATGAACCTTCCATGAAGAGACTGGCCAACAAATAAGAGCCAAACTCTGACAAGTGCATGCAGCGAGACTCAAAACATGCCAGTCTATGTCATTTTGTTCATCATTTTCAGTTGAACATACTTAGAAAGCTAGCGACTTGGCATGTCTAATAAGCCATGGATTCCACTCAAGAGCAGCAGAGTTTGCTAAATGTAGGGGGAAATGGTACATTTTGTTGTCACTTTGCTACCACAACCTCAGGCAGAAAGCACACAATTATCTAACCATTTGAGGACAAAGGTGAACACATATCCTAATGGTAAAGGCAAAACAGAGGGAGGCATGTGCTGAAACCACAGCAGCCTGTCAGGAACTTGGCTTTGCTCAACTCAGCACTGACCTAAGCAAGTGGAAAAGCAAAGAAGGACGCGGTGATCTGTAACCAAGCTGACACATAAAATCACCCTTCCCTTTGGAAAAAAAAACCTCTATGTCATTTTCAACTTTCCAATTATACTAAATGAGAAGCATTTTAGAGCAAGAATCAATTCACAATGAAATTCTTCAAAATAATGGTTTTTTAAAGTATAGCAATGTCCATCTTGATGAATATGATACCTGTTTTCAGTAGCCACAATTCTCATATTAAAGAAAATGTTGTTTCAGAACATACTGATCATCTTTTGAAAACATTTAAAAGTAAGAAAAATGATTTTCTAGAGAGCAATGTCATGCATTTACTCTTT